TTCCTGTTATGTAGCTTACTCTGGCATTAATAGTGCAGGTAAGACTTGGAGACTTTCCAAGTCATACTGTTTGCCTGCACTTCCTCTTTCTGTCTTGACTATCTGGAACAGAAATATGAAGTGCCTCAAGAGAGGAGTCTGCATTTGTTGCAGACTTCATCATTACTGAAAATGGTATGGCCAGTGCTAAGACATCCATAAGTTTTCAACCATCTGGTAGTTTCTACCATCATAGTCTGGCTATTAGTTTGAATCACAGACCATGTAATGTCACCAGTCATTCTGGCATTGAGCCTGTATGTGGCTTGGAGCAAGAATGTCCTTTTAGAAAGGTATTTTCACTAATGAATGCAAGGGATGGAAATTTGTTCTTGGGCTTAATCGCCTGACTTTTTAAAGCTCTATCTTATTACTTATCTGACTTGCCTACCCTTTTTTGAAATGTATGAAGGGATTCTTATTAGATGTTATTTATTGACAAAATACACTGTTTTCCAAAATTTTGAGAATGTAGCAATATGAAAGAGGTGGATATATAAGGAGTTAGACCTCAGGAATAAGAAAACTAGAACTAGAGAAGGCAGTTACAGCATTTTTGTGGTTTCTTGCTAGTTCATCACTGCTGCCTGTTATACAATCCTTATTTAAATGATCCCACATAAGTTTCATACATTATGCTGTTAGCCTATTAGATGGCACCATGGTTTGAGGCATCATGTAATTTGGGAATTTTTGCATCTAGCATGGGGTTTAGACTCCCTCTTAAACCTTAAAGAGAGAACTTTATACCTTAAAATTACTTCTGTTTCTTTTGAACTGGCCACTACTATTAATGCTGCTTTTGTAGCTCTCAATGACTTTCACAGGTTTGGTTTGTTGTTGATACTAATGCAAGTTTAATTTCTTTTAAAGTCCTATTTCTTGAATTGTTAGATTCATATTCTATGGATAACAGAACTATGCCATATGACACATTCTGTCAAGAAAGATTTTATTAAAGAAAAAAAGGAAAACTTTATTTGCCCTACTACATCTGATATATTAGTATAGTACATTGATTATTGTTGCATTATTTTGTACATAATTGAAAAGGTAGCATATATTCTAAACATTTAGGATTCTAGCCAGTTCTAACTTCTCCCTCAGTTAAACATCATTTAGGGGTTGAAAAGGAATGCAACTAGCACATAAAATCTTAGTAAACAGGTAAAGTCTTAAAAATATTAAGTTTTTATCTCCTTTAATAAAAAACAACTGTTAGTCTGTCATAATTTTATTTGAGGGTAGGCAAGCTGAAAATATGATTTGTAGCTATTTTCTTTTGTTTTTTCCATGCCTCTTTCAAGTAGTGTCTTACAGATTTGCGTATTTTAGACTAACCCCAGTTTTATTGCTGAGTACGATGCTATACACTATGGAATGGTCCGTCTGGTCAGTTGGGGTCACCTGTCCCACCTTTTTCTTCTCACAGCCCACTTGGGGACAGGGGGAAGCCAGGACAGGGCAGGGGACTGCAGCATGAGGAACAGAGAAGGCCTTGGTGCTATACAAGCAATGCTCAGAATTGCTAAAACACTGGTGTGTTCTCAACACTTAGTCACAACTAGAAGAACAGGCAGCTCTGAAGAAATCTACCTCCATCCCAGCCAGTCCCAGTACACCTGGGATTACAGGAGTCAGATGGGTTTATAAATAGATTAATGGAATTGAAATACAACATTTTGATTCCATTCATATGTCTGTCTTTTCTCTCCTGCATGGCTTGATTGTTTACGTACCTCATTGTTGTTAACCTTCACGTGGTTTTTTAGTAGTAAGCTTTGGCTATAAAGTTGCACTCTTTATTTAAATGGTCTGATCAATGAGTTCTCTCAATTACTTTTACACTGAGTGATCTCACATCTGAATTATCAGCCCTTTAAGACATGAGAGTTACAGCTCTTTGAAGTGTGACTTCTGAGACCAGAGAAAAGCATGTTGACACAACTGATATTGATTGTAGTTGTACCACTATTTTGAGGCACTTATGGTAAATCTTCATTTTTTAAATTCTAGAGCCACTCTAGAGTTGAAAGGTCTTGGGATTACAGTGCTTTGATCTGTAAATTACTGTGTAGTTCTACCTCTCAAGACCTCCAGGAAAAGCACTCTGTAAACAGTGATGTCCTAAAAGAAAGTAGATCCAAATTTTTCTAAGGCTACATACTTTTTTGTCAAGTTTTTTTTTACCTGTGGTAACCAGCCATGTTCCAAAAAAGCAATGTGATCATATGGTGTTGTTACCTATGGTTGTTGCAGTTTTGCTAATGTGCTTTGCTCCTGTGTTAGACTATTTTGCTTCTCATGATTAACATGTAAAGGTTTTCCAAAGCCACTAGTCAGGCAGATAAAATTTTCCATCACACAACTGAGCTACATTCAACATATGCTCAGATGTGCATGGTAAATAAAGCTAGAAACAACACAGTTGGATTTTCTAGAGTAGGTTCATGCAACTGAATGCTTAGAAATAAGTTCACAGCTAACTGGTGCTCAATTACATTTTACTTCACGCACAAAATAAAATTTCTCCATTAGAGAATTTAGATTTACTTCACAGTCCTCATTAATTGTTCTCACATTCTTTGATATAGTCATATATATATATAAAGGAAAACCAGTAAATAAATGTGTTAAGCTTAAGGATTTAAGCATAACAAAAATCAAGAATTACAGAATTAAGATTGAGTCTTGACTGAAGTAACAACCTCTGAAATAGCATTAAATTACATAATAGAATATTCTTTCCTGGGTATAATAAGTAATACAGGGTAACATATCATATATATTATTTAGTATAACATACAGTTGACAGGTTAAAGGACCTAAAATTCACACAATGAAAGAGTTATGTTTAGAGTAACTCTAATCTGTGCACCATCACATGTAGGGCTAAATTTTTAAAGGGGTCTCATTTTTTTCCTCTGCTTTCATATCCTCAGTCTATTTTATGCACGTATGATAGGATTAAGATACCCTCTTTTTTTACTTCAGTCCCTAATTGATCTATCTTAATCCTTTCATATCTGTCCTTAAAATAAGAGGCCATCTTTAAAAATTTCACCTAAAGTGCTCAATTTTGCCTTCAGATACCTCCATGCAACTTCCATTGAAGTAATTGGAGCTGTGCCTGCATATCTGATGGTGGAACTGGACTCATTGCAATTAAGGTACACCTTTACTGGCATAATTAGTCATCTGGAATAATTGCTGGGCCCAGTGTGACATTCTGCTTGTGCAGAATTTGCTAGATTGGACTCTATGGGAGACTGAAGATAATGCTAACTTTATTCCATGCCTTACATTTCTAATTGTAGCAGAAGTTTAATGTAGTTTGTTGTATCTAATTTTCTTATTTTTAAATAAGAAATGTGAAAGGAATTCACAATGATGCCTTTGTCTATATTTTCATACCCAACCAGCACACAGATATTCTGTCATTTCCACGAACATGTTACAAATGGTATGTGCAGGCACAATTGTGATTTGTGCAGTAGCTTATAGATGAAAATATTCAATCCTGAGTAGTGCTTTGTTTTTTTTTTTTTATTTTGGCCTTGTATCTTTGTGCTGGCAAAGCGCAGACAAATAAATCTGCAAATAATTCCACAGTGTATAACTAACAGCATAAAAACCACACATGAAAACTTTAATACCTCTTAATTGAAAATACATAGAGTACTTATCCTCCAGTAATTTAAAATTATCTGTGTTTTGTGATTGCAAGTTGATTACAGGTAGCTTTAATATAGGTGTCTCTCTCCTGTCACTGGTCTGGGGAGGGGCTCTTTGACTTATAAGAATAGTGGTTTTGTAGAATAATAGAAATCCATGGTTGGCACAAAAGCAGAAGATTTTGTGGAGGTTGCCTCAAAATTAAATTTGTGACACATAAAAAATTTCAACTTAAAAAAGTTTTTCTGAGATGCTATAACCTGTTAAACCACAATGAACATAGCGAATACTCCTGTGATTTAGAATAGTTGCTGATAAATTTTTGGGTATAGTTCTAGAACTGTTAAAAAGCTAGTTTTCATGGTATTGATGTTACCTGCATTGCTTTGAATTTAAAATGCTACAAAGTTTAAGAATAGCAGAATATCTAGATCCCCCTGAAATTATTTGCTACCACAAAGGTTAAGTTACTTGGAGGAAGCTCTGGCCCAGGGTTGTTTACAGCACTCTCTCTGTTAGTGCATGATTGTCTGCCTGTGGCAGGCACAGCCAGTATGAATTGCCATAACTTGTTCAAATTGAAGATTATGTTCTTTATAACACCACAACTCCTTGAATGTCCAAGATATCTGTTTTTAAAGAAACACTGCTATATGGAAGTTGAAAACAAAAGAACAAATAATTATTTGAAGTAAAGGTGATCATTTCAGAACAAAGTAGTGATTTTAAAGGAGGTCTTGTTAAAAAAACCCAAACTACTAGAAAAGGACTGTTGTTTTGACATGACTGATTGAATGGAGAAATTATTCTTCTCAAATAGTCTTAGCTATGTTTCAAAATCGTAGGAGTTATTAATTTAAAACAAATGTTAATACCTGTTTCACGTATTACTTCTTAGAATGCTACTGTAATATTTTCTACATTTAAAAAACCACATGCTTAGATGATCATGGATTTACATCCCCTGCATCTAGAATATTTAACAGGTGTAACATTCAGCCTGCCACCTAAATTTTTTCACTCTTTTCATATCTGTTGCACCAGCTTGATTATGTGTAGAAATTGGGATGTCTGCCCATTTTCAGGTAAAGACTCTTGCAATGAAAGTGGTTGATTTCTTGACATTAGTGTTCCTTTGTTCTGTGCTTACACCCTGCTTGTTCTACATGTGTGTACATTTCTTTGTTTTGTTGAAATGGAAATAAGCTAAAATTGTTGCTAAACCATTTGTTTTCCCCAAAACTTTTTCTCTATTTTTAATTGATTTTCATTGTGTGTTTTTGCAGCAAGCTTAGTAGTGGAGGAGCGAACGAGACAGATGAAAATGAAAGTGCACCGTTATAATCAGACATCAGGGTCTGGTTCTAGCCAAGAACATGAGCGTGAGCAATATACCAAGGTAAAGTCAGTAGTCTTGGAATGGTATTTTGGCTTGAAAACTGAAGGCATAAACTTGTTTATTTAAAATATTATATAACCTTCAAGAACACTGTATTTTAAATCCTGACAGAAATGTCTTCAAGTAATTGCTTTTTAGCAGTATTTTTGCCCCCATCTGATGTGGATTAGAGTTAGTCTTTGACATCAACTAAAATGAATCTGTCAAAAAAATGCTTAAAAACATCAAGAAATATTTTCAGAAAGAAAAATTTCAGTAAAGAAAGAATGTTCAACAGCTGTTAAAAAGAAACATCACATCTAACTTAGGAAGTCCTCAGACTTCCAATCCCTGGAGTTTGGAAAAGTAAACCATGAAAAAGTAATTTGGCCCTTGTTGCTGTCTGATGTGTAGAGAACTAGAAAGAACTAGATCCAATCCCATGCAGATATTTTCATATTTGTATCATGTTTTTGCATCCTAATAATGTTAATTTCCTTTCTTGAGGTACCTACTGATGACTTCGATTTCCTTTTCTAATAAAAGCATAAAGAGTTTCTGTGATAATGGAATATATTGAAATTATGTTAACGAAGTTGTGTAGAGGGCTTTTGTTTTATTGATAAAGCTAAAATGGCAGTTCATAACTTTGTAATTTAAACTGTATAGGGTTCCAAGCAAACTGATGAAAATGTCTTGCACATCTTCACTCCTGCTTACAATTCAAGCTGTGAGGAGCTGGATGCTCCTGGAGATACAGGTTAAAATAATGTATAAGTGAGGTACTCATCTAAAGCAAAACCACAAATTTACTTAGGAATGGTTAAATGGGAAATTTGGCAGATAACTTTTAATATTTAACAGATTTGAAGGATTGGTTCAAGACCTTGTTGTTGTAAAATATGCAGACAACTTTAGTAAGAATTTAAATGAACAATTCTTAAAAGGAAGAGAAACAAGGCTTTAGGTCCTCAAAGGCCAAATTGTAGGATATCAGTGCTGTTAAAAAAACTTAACAGCTGGGGTGGAAATTTCCTATGAGATCCTCTATCAGAAGCAGGAATTTGTTTCATTAGAACAGCTCATTTGCTATTGGATTTGCTGTTACCTTCAAAAGAGATCCACTCAGGGCAAGAGGGCATGACGCAGTGCGTTTCACTTAACAAGGTAGGAAAAAATAGTCATAATAGAGTTAATAAAATTTTCATTAGAGAGAGGTAATATGCAATCTGAAGAGTTTTGCCAGGATGACCAAAGAGCTTTGTTCAGAGTCAGAGGCCAGGTTTCTGAGTCAGATTATATGTGCTTACAGATTGATTGAAATTTTTGTATTTTTCATTTTGAAACATATTTTTTGATCCTAATTCTAATATTTATGATAGCCATTGTTTTGGCCCTCAATATGCTTTTCTTATTTGATTAATGTAGATCCAATGTATGGTTAAATAGTTGTTAGAAAACATCAACCTGCAATGTTCCAAATTTATCCTTAAAACCTTGAGCTTTTCAGGATCTTCTTTTGGTTTTAAATGCATGTGGAAATCAAAATGGAAAGCATGATGAGTACTAAATCCAAAAAACACTGATATTATTCTATTCAGAATTCTGCTTCATTCCACTATGGTGATAGTCATCACTTTAAAAATGTTACCAAAGTTAACCTTATGCTACTGTCTTTCTCTATCCTGAGAAATGGTGAAAGAATCAAGAAAATAACCGAGACAGATGAAGATTTGTACATTTAAAAATGTTGTACGTTATATCACCTCTTGTGGTAAAGCTGATGACTGAGACTTCTCAGAATCAAAGAATGCACCCAATCTCTGCTGCCAAAATTTGGTAAAAGTCTTCAAAAGCTGCAGAAACAAGACTTTAATTTTTAAGAAAAAATATTAAGTGGCATAATAAGCATTCTGGAATAGAGAAAAATAAATATTAACTGACTATTAAAGAAATAGCAATTGCAAGTAGAGTTTTTGTCTCTTTAATCAGAATGCTTCTTTCTTTCCCAAATAGCAGTGTTTGCCCACTGCTCTAGAAAATAAATATATTTATTAATTATACTGTGCTGAACATTGGGAGAATAGTCCATTCTGCATTTCAGAGCAATCAGCTCACATGGATTTGATTCTTCCAGTATTTTTGCATTTGCAAATATGCTTATTACATATGAAATTCTCTAAACCATTCAGAAATTTTTCTTCTGTATGGGACTGTATCTTATTTGCAACAGTTAATTATGCATATACAAAATAATTCCTGAAAGTTAAATAAGTTTTCTTTTAAACAGAGATATTGTAATTGGTCCTTTGCTATTTTCAGTCAATTTTTGATGCATTACAGTTTTGGAATTTCTCCCACTCAGTTTCCCAATTTTCTAGTTTCAGTAAGCAAGAATTAGTTTTCCAAACATGCACTATGCAGGTTTCCATTTTGAACATCCATTAATGGATTTTAAATAGGTAACTGCCCTGAAACATTTGTGTACATCTCCATGGCTGTTCCACTCTGTTTTGAGACTTTCAAAGAGTTCACATCCTTATTTCCTCCAAGTGCAGCAGAAAGACTCCACAATTTTTTTGCAACAAAAAGTTTAAAGAAGAGCTTTAAACATCTGCCTTCTTTCTTATATAAAGGTGAGGCTGTAGTGGCTAGTGTGCACATATTTGTGCTGTTTCAGTTCTTGAGAGGATCAAAACATTTGGTGGCATAATTCTGGATTTGCACAGAGGTGAATTACATTGTAACTCAATTAGCCTTTTAATTCAAAATACAGTAAGATTTTTTATTCCAGATGCCACATACAGCACACAAACACCATGCTTGCAGCTGCTCTGGCTTAACATTTTTTTAGAAGTTCTGTTTATTCAAGAGAGTTACTGATTAGAACACTGTAGTATGTACTTTAAAAGGATATCACTCTATATTTAGATGCACTACCAACTTAAGACTGTATGTGATTGAAAAGCATTTAGCTTTAAAAGTGTAATCATGGCATTTGTTCAGAGGCACTGTGGATTACTCTGTCTTTACTCTTATGTATTAACACTTAATGTCTAAACCCAGGGGCTGGGTAGGATACTTGGGCTAATAGGAGGCTGATTATGTTAAGTTCTACATCATACTGGCTAAGGCATCTAGGGCTATATATAGAAAATGCTTTTGGACATAGATGTGGCATCTTCTTTTGGTCCCCTTCACCCACCTTGAAGAAAAAAATCTTTAATGTATGTCATATTAAGATGGCAGTCACTCCAGTACTAGCTGGATATCACAAAATTTAGCGAGTTCTATTCATTTGACCTGTGGGCTTCACTGCAGTTTCCTCATGGTTTGACTTGCTCATTTTTACTGTTCCCTGCTTGGAAGTTGAGCAGTGTTCATAGGAGTTGGATACAACTGTAGGAAGAGTTCTTTAGACTCACTGGTTCTTAGAGGCCTCTGGACTATGGCGTGAGCTACTCCTAAGACAGAAGCTGGTGGGAGTCAATGGTGAGTCCTGAACACCCTAAGGTGCTCCCTGCTAACTGCTGGACTGTGAATGCCATCAGCATTCAGAGGAACCCCATGTGAGCAATCATATAACTCAAAGTGCTTTGTGCAGGATTCAGTGTTTTCTGAAAAAAATTCCCCATTAGACTGCCTCAAAAGATAGCTGTGATCTCAAGACTTGTGTAAGTCCGTGGAAGAATCTGTGCATCTGGTCTGTGTTTCTCTTTCCTCACATTAATGAACTCATTTTAAACCCATTTTATTTTCTCATTTAATTTCCTCATTTTAAGCACATAATGAGGTATATATTTGTCAAGTTTAGTCACCTGAGGCTTTTTTTGCAGTCAAAAGACAGCACACTCATTTAATTTTCAAAGCTCTGAATTCTTGTATTCTTCATGGTTTTGGGAGTTAAATCTAGGAATATACTTTCATACCTTTCATTAATATGAAAGATAATCCCGTTATAATGGACTGTTAAATTACTTTTATGATGTGTCTTATAATCAGTAAAATTGCTAACATTGTTAGTCACGAAGGAGCTGTAAAATTATTTGTGAAATACACTCTTTTAGCTTGTGTCTATGCTCTTCCCATTGATGTTAACACATCTGCAGCAGCCCCCTGAATAATCAGGCTAGTCCAGAGATCCGAGCCTGTGAGGGGAGGAATATCAGGAGATAGTAAAGATTTCCAAATGAGGCTCTTACCCTGAGATATGTTGGTTCAGCTCTCTTTATTCTGTGATGTCCTAGGGTTAAAAGAGGGGCAAAAGAGGACGAACAGGAAATGTCAGGGGTCTATATAGACTTTGGACAGGGTGGGTTTCCCTGGCTCTCCACCAACCCTGTTGGGGCAGGAAGGAGGGGTCCAGGGATATCTTGATCAGAGTCACAGGGTCCTGGGGAAGGGGGAGTGGAGTGCTCATGAGCTCACTGTAACACAGTTCATCATACCCCATTTTTCTCCTTTTGCTGGTGAGCAAGAAGCCACAGCTCCAGAGGTGGTAAAGTGAATGGAAGAACTGCATTCCAGCTGTTTGTAGATGTCTGTTTTTGTAATGCAGGCAAGGAAAGCACAGATATTTTCAGCATTTGAAACTAGCTGCTATTAATTTTTAAAAAAACAGACCTACTTTTTAGTAATTGCTATTGAAGTTGCTGCAAACTTCAGCGACTCGTCTAATGTGATGAATAGTACACTTTGGAAAAGAAATGTTGCATGAGCTTTAAGATATAGAGTTGAAAGAGAAGTGGTTGCCCTGAAAATATACTTCATTTTGAAGCTTCAAAACGATGTAATGTTTAAATGTAAAATGTCGGGGAAACTTCTCGCAAATATATGTGCGGTTTCAAAGAGCAGCAGTTTTTCACTTTACAGTAGAACTTTATCATATTATTTTTGAGCCCATTTGGAAACCTCCATTGCAGGTACCATATAAGAGGATCTTAGGATCTTAGCCCATGTTATTTTTCTTCTGAATTATACATTCAGGTGTATTGTAGCAGTAAAATCTCATTTTAATGAGCACTGCCTTGTGGAATAGTGCTATTTACTTCTCTCTGTATTTGAAGGGAAAAAAGGGTAACTTCAAAATTGCCTTAATTTTGTTCATCTGTTAGCTGAGATGCCTATCAGATTGTATCAGAGATAGGTAGGAAATCAGTAGGAAAACTTGTACACTTCCTGTAGAAATTGGTGAATTAATTAGAAGCAGCAGGTATAAGAAGGAAAAGCTAAATCCAGAAGTAGTAGTAGTAAAATATAACTCTGTAGTACTCAGCATAAATTTTCAGTGTCACTACTTTTGTGCTAATCTCTGTTTCTGGAGAAAGAAGGCTTTCAGTTTCCTGGGAATCACAGGCCTGGCATACAGCATAAAGGGATAGGAAAAGCTCAGCCATGCCATGAAAATCTCATTTAGGAAGGGATGCTCCATGTTTTTTGCAGTAGCTGTGTGATTGCAATACAAGGAAAGTAGAAGATATGGATTCAGTTTTTCCTTTATGTCCCTTCTCAATGTAAAATTCTCTGTTTACCAACATATGTAAAACTGTCTTTTAAGCCAGTCTGATATCTACAAAACAATTCAATTTTTCAGACTGCTTGACTATTGGGAGCAAAGCAGAGTGAGAGTATCTATGTAGCCCCTACTTACAGGATGATACCTAGGCTGAAGACCCCTGCACCAATAAATAGTTTTTATATTGATACTGAACAGTCAGTTGATGAGGTTGAATATCTAAAAAGCCACTGATGCACAAACTGGGCTTCTAACTTCTCTCCCAGTATTCTAAGCAGTAAGTTGCACTACCATGCTTGATGCTCTCTTGCCTCTCCCCATCTTTCCCAGCCCACCTAGATATGCCATGAAAGGTGGAACAAATTCAGTACAAGTGAAACAGAGGGTCTTTTTCATTACATACCCTGCCCACCTGTTGAATTATAAGTTGAATGCTAACAGCCAGACTCAGGTGTGGCTTGGAACAAAGACCAGCAGCCAAAACCTCCCTCAATACGTAGAAGAAAGGCTTCCAGCAGGCAGCTTCCAGAAGTCACTGCATCTGGGCTTGGTGCTTCTCTGGTGGGGGAGTCTGCCTTCTCCAGCAGCACGTCCTGGTTGCTCAGGAACCACCTAAGTCTTCTACCACTGCACTGTTTCCACTCTCAAACCAAAGGCCACAAAGAGAATATGGACTTTTTGGTGAGGGAGAGAAGTAATTGGACATTATAATTACAGAGGGAAGAAGTCAGATTGTCTTCAGCAAATACAAATAAATCATGGAGGTATTTCTGAAGCAGTCTGTTACTATACTTAAGAAAACTGATGCATTTGAGATAGATTGCTTGGTTATATTTTAAACAAAGAATTTTTGAAACCTCAACTTCAAAGGAATAATTTTTAGATATAATCTTAATATATGGGATGGGTGAAATCCCTATTTCACTGAAATCACCAGAAATTTTATTATTTAAAGGGATGATTTTACAGATTGCAAATCTGTTTAGGTCAGTAGAAAGCCAGATCATTCCATGTGTTCAGATGGTTTTCATATTTTTACATGTCTCATTTAGAGTAGCTTGAAGGATTCTTTAGGAATTCTTTAGGTATTTTGCATAAAACATCATGTCTGACTTGAGACTGGGGCAGTTTAACTTACACTGGAGAGAACTAACCATTCCGTTTTCTAGCCTCTGAATGTTTGTATTTACCCTAAGTAAAAATTTTTCAAACTTGTATTCTTGCTTTGAATATTTTTTAGACTTTAGAAGGAAAACATGATATCCTATTATGAAATAAGTCCAATAATAATTAGTATGCTTTGTGTTTCCATTTTGGAATTACCGTTTTATCTTGCAGTCTGAAGGATAGCAATCAGCAAAATTGTTTAACAGAGTCTACAAACCATTAACAAAAGGTGATATTAATGAACATATTAGCATATCTCACCCCATTGGGCATTTATATTCCATAAAGTCACAAGTCACTTGCAAAGAGAACTGATAAATTCCTGTGTAGTTGAAAGTATTTTTGAATATCACAGTACTTGATGTACCTTTCTGTTGCCCATTTTCTTAAAGTTGCCTTTAATAAACCAGAGCTTAGTCTCCTGCAGATGTTTTTACACAGCCACTGTAAGGTCCTCACAGGTCCTCGCAAACTGCTTAGAGTTTCTGCTAAACAGTGTTCTAATGCACACCTGAGAAATACAGTGAAACAGTAAATTTATGTAACCTCCATTTGTCCTGTAGATTTCTGTATTTACAATTGGAGCTTAGAATTGCTTTACTCCTTCCCCTTCTCTACTCCTAGTGACTTCCTCATTTTATGTTCAATGTTTTACCAAGAGGTTTCCAAGTGTGCACTGGTGCAAGATAAGGTAAACCTGGCTTAAGGAAAGGAGACCTGATACATCCATCTGTACAAACTCAAGCTTGTGTTTGCCAGGATTTGAAATTAAGTCATGGCATTTGTTGAGTGGCTCAGCCAGAAGCCCAGTCCCAAGTCAGAGTTTGTATATTCACAGTCAGCTACAGATTTGTGTATTATTCATAAACAAACTTTTATCACTTGTAATTTTACAGAGCACAGATCTGGCAAATGAACTCCCTAGAGTCTCATGTCAAAAACTGCCTAGTGATCCTATGTTTTAATAGTTTTCCCATAATATACCGTGGGAAGAATGCCACTGGTTTAGTTGCTTTCCAGCCAAGAGTACCTTCCTGTAATGACAGTGAGTTTTAGTTTTGTGAGCCTGAAAACTATTTGGTCCTCATATCTGTGTGAATGAAAGTTTAGGTAAGTGTGACATTGCAAGGGTTGAAACTTCCCTTTGCACCTCTGACTGATGATATGAGCAATAAGAGCATTATGTAAGTGTTGGTGTCACAGCTGATTTGAAAAGTGAAGTAACTTCTATGTCTGTTCACATATTCCTCCTGCTGGGTCTTCTGCTAATTCTTAGGCATGTGCAGATGTAAAAGCAACTAGATCAGGGAATTGATCTGCCTGGAAACAAATACCGTATTTACTAAGTTAGCCTTCTGCCTAACTAGTCCTCTAGTATCACAATATAAAGAGAAATTTTGAGATAGAAAATGTACTTTTTTCTTTTTTTATAGAACTTAGGAACTGAAATCAGTCCCTAATGCCTTCATGTAGCATTATATTTCATTCAGGCCCATATGCAGTTCTATGTGCAGGTATTTTACAGCATATATTTTTAATATTTTAAAAATTTTAAAAGGAGTCTGTAGCCAAATGGATGGTGTGCATGTTCTTGAGATATCTGTCTGCTGCATAAATATTTCATATAAATATTTCATTATTATAGATCAAGTGTGCTGAAGAACCAACGGCCTATTTAATTCCCCATACATTATTTTATACCAAGTATCTTCTTTAGTCCATAAATAACATGTTTCATTTCTGTACTAGACATAAAGATAATATTTAATGCAGGCATATATTTGAATTTCATATAATTTTGTTATATCTAAAAGCAGTTAAAGAGAATTGTCATACTTAGGTTGTGTGTTGACTCAATGAATGCATTCTGGTTTGATGAGACTCCTCACCCTTTCTTTTCTTGATCTCTAGTATAATATACAAACAGATCAGTACAGAAGTTGTGATAACGTCTCTGCCAAATCATCAGATAGTGATGTCAGTGATGTGTCAGCCATTTCCCGAACCAGCAGTGCCTCTCGCCTCAGCAGCACAAGTTTTATGTCAGAGCAATCTGAGCGCCCTCGGGGCAGGATCAGGTGAGTTCTCCATGCAGCTTCAATTGCATCACACTCCCTCTTCTATTGACTGCCAGAATACAGCCATAAATTCTTGAAACTAGATAACCACAACATGAGAATTTCTGGAAAATGTTATGCACGTATAAACTGTCTTCCATGACTGGCCTAAGATGACAGTATTTTTGCTGTTGTGAATCCTAAACAGAAAGCAAACTCCCATGAGAAGATGATAGATTTATGTATTTATCCCACTTGAACCTGAACACAGGCTGTCCTCTCATTGCTGGCTAAGAAACAGTGTAATCAGTATGTCAGTAAGGTATTACAGCAGAAATATTACTATATTTTTTTATTTAAGCAGTTTTTTTCATAAAAGCTTGGTTTTTCTTCCTCAAAGTATTTTTCCCTACCTACATACCCTTATTTTGCTGTTTTCATGTATATGATAAATTACTAGATTTGAAACTATTTTTCATGTAATAATTTTTATATTTTTTGTTCTAAAGTAGTTTAGTTCATTTCCATTATCAATAACCAAATATATCTTTCATCCTTTATGCTAATTTATTCAGGGGTTAGGGCTCTATTAGATGCACAACATTGGGTTTTGTTTTCATTTAACTTGATGACAAAACCCTCAGCAACTACAGTGGCTCTAGGATTAGCTTGGTAGTCGTTGATTACATTTGTCAGCTCCTGAACTGCAAAAAATTCAACTTTAGGTGTTCTAAAACACAAGAAGAATTATGAACTGTAAAAAAAAAATATCCCTACCATGAAGTCTGCCTAATATAAGTCTGGAAGTCATCATTTACCACTCAGAATACTTCTAGACACACTCAGTGTCTGAGAAGATCAGCTGCAGGAGTTTGGTCTGTTTATGGAAAAGGAATGGATATTAGGAAAACTCAGGAACTGGCCTCTATGTTTGAGCTAGACACACCTCATTTTATTTTCAAGGAGTATTCGCAAGGGTATTTAAAGTCATATTTCAGATTGGTGGAGGTCTAACCTGACAGCTACAGTAATCCACAATCCAGCAGAACACTGCAGTGGAAGTGTAAATGTATTTAAAGTCAGTTCAATTCATGTCTTTAAATGCTGCATTACATCATGTCCTAGGTTTTCAGTATTTGACTCTTACAATGGGCTTTTTTCATACCAAAATACCTTATTTCATAGACACAGAATTTTTCTCAACTAGGCCCTCTCACAGGTCTTTGTCAGGTTCAACCAAAATAATTTTTTTTTCCACAGATACATGTAACAGATTTTATCAGAAATTTTCCTTGTGTTCAGAATACATGATTGTAAATATCAGGACTGGGAGAGCCACTAACCTTGTGTAAGCCTGGCAAGGGTGAAACCAAGGTTCAAATCCCCAACCTCTTCCATTTTTAGGAGTAGCAGAGCACTTTGGGTGCAGGATTGGGTGACCTCATATACAATGCCAAGTGCCTGCAGTGGGAGTTCCAGTTCAGCTTCACTCTAGACAGTGAGTGAGATGTAATTGGAATTCAGATGCTCTCTCTTTCTGATACTGTCCACAGGATGCATATCTCAGAAATTAGACACTTTTTGGTTGCTTGCTTTAATCTTCTCTAAATTCAGGTAGTACTTCCATACTGAACAAAATGTGTAGTAATAAAATACAATGCAGTTCCTTCAGTAGAAATATGAGAAAGAAATTAAAAGATTGGGGAAAGGGTTGATTGTTTTAGGAACAATTTTTTTCATCTTGAGATTCATGCTGTGTAACTCCAGCCTTAAAAGCTATGTATCTTCAGTGGAACTCACCTAAAAATAGGTTTTTATTAAATTATTTTTTAGCTTACCTAAGCCACCATTAAAAGGTAGAAAACACCTATTATCTTGGATGGTTCACTTTCTCTTCAGTCAAGTGTCAAAGGCGGGGTAATCATCCTTTTCTAGAATTAATTGTTGAAGAAACCCTAGATAACTTATTTAGATTGGTTGCTTTAATTTTTGACATTGGTTGCTTTTAATATTAAAACAATTCTTTCTCTCAATTACTAAAGTTTCTTTAAGGTCAAGGAATTAGAAGTTTTAATTTAAAGTCTGATTAGTAATTTGAAATTCAAATTTTATTTTTGCCTCCAAAGAACCCAATGTTAACATATATCAAATAGGATGGGATAGGATGAGATGGTTGAGCAGGGAGGGTAGCACTTTTTGTCTATCTGTTTTTGTCATTCTGAAACCACCTATCCAGCATCATCTTCATTTGGAAGAGTGTCAGGCCAATGGACATGGCAACTGTGTGAGTGTAATGTTACATTTAAGGACAAAGTTTCTTGAACTGCCTTCTCTATGCACCTGCTTTTGTTCTCCAGATATGTTGTAGAGATTAACCTAGTAAACATATAGAAACTCAAAGGAGGTGGCTCAGTTCTAGCCATTTCACTAAATTAAGTCATTCAACAAGTATCCTTACCTTGAACAGTAGTCTGGGGTTCAGATTAGTAACCTGAAGTAATTGATGCAAGTTCTAAATATAAGTATATAAAATAGGTTCTTGATTTCTAATTTGTTTAGCATTTTCAGGTATGTGTTATAACAAATGGTTTTGTGTGGATAAGCTACTCTGCACATTAAATTATTCAAAGCATCTTTCTTGTTACTGTTCTAAGAAGTCTGGTTAACTGCCATGCTCTCTACTTGGAAGTGCAGAAAAAAATACCAGGAATTTTTGCTGTGTGAACAAAAAGTTCTGGGACTTCTGATTTGAATCAGAATCAGATAGTTGATGTGTATTTAATGAGTGAAGTCAAATTATCAGTCCTTCTTTATGGAGATTTGCTTTTATTGGTCATGGTCTTTATGCATTCATAACACAGCCACGCAGTACTTTGTGCCTGCATGTGTTGGAGATGTTACTGTGTATGGCTCTGAAGCATTTCTTGCATCCTAAATGAAGCGGAAGGAAACGTTTCTATGGTTTAATGCTAATGATTGATAAGTAAGAGCCCATGACGATTAATCAGCACCATATGGGCTTGATCAGACAAAGAAGGACATTTGCTGACTTAATAAAAAAATATGCCAGATTCTGTCATTGCATCACTTTTCATTTGTAGCCTGTTTATGCAGATAACCTGGACTTCTTGGTGCTGTTAAGTAGGGAGCTGTCCTGCATGGTAAAGGTGAGGTGGAGGCTTCTGTTTTGGAGGAATAACAAGCTACCATAAGGTGTTTCATTCAAATCCGATTTAATAAAATCTGCTAAATTTATGAAAGACTAAATATTATTTTAAGGTGAATTTGTCTCACTGTATCTGGATTTCAAACAAATTGCCCTGCATTAGGAATATTACTGTTATCTCTCATTTTATATTTGAAAACCACATCTTACTAAGAATTATGGTTTTTATCTTGATCAATGTGTGATATAATAATATTAAGTCTGTGCCAAATTTTAATCTGTTTTACATGCTTTTTAAAATTGAATGCTTAAGTGTAATTAAAATATTTTATATGAGCTTATCAAGGAAAGAGGATAATGTAATGAGTTGTAATAGTAGATTTAAACCAGTTCTAATTTATTGCACATGTTGTGCCATGCCACTGAATGGCTTGTATCGCAAACTCGTATATGGTTTTCAGGATTTATGTTCTCTGTATGCCACTGAAGTTTGTACTGTCAGGCTCTACCTGACAAGCATTTTTCCCCCTGATTTCCAGAACAAAATATACAACTTTTGTGTAGCTGTTGTTCTTTCAGTACACTGACACTTAACTCCAGTACACTTGAGCTTTAAAATAGGAATGATGGAGCAGAGAAATTATGGTTCAGGATCAAGTGAGGAAGTGGTTGATGGTTGATAGGCAATGGGTGCAGAGAGATGGGGACAGCCAGGACCTCATAAACAGCAAAACAGGGCAGGGAGGAGCCACCCAGAGTGTATGTACATGAATAAGGATGTGATTGAGAGAAAAGCATTTAGGGAAAGTTCTCATACCTTTTCTGGGAAATCAGCATAAGTGTGTGGCTCTCCAGATGGCCTGCACTCCAAAGCATGGGGAACAAGCAAGAGGAATTAGAGGTTTGTTGTGCAGCTTCAGGGCTATGGTCTCATCATGACTACAGAGAAGTGGTGGGATAGCTCATGTTACTGTGCTGCAATCCATGGAAGCACAGGGCAGGATAGCAAGGACTGATAGCAAGCCCTTTCTGAGGGAAAGCAGAATATGCAGGGAGCTCTGCCTAGAGGTGGGTAATGAGCCAGCTGAGAGCTGATAGGTCAGGATTAGAGGCCCAACCAATGTCATGATATTGTGTGTGTCTGCTATGGACTTCTTGTTCAATAAGAATTAAATGAAGCCTTCTTCCAGTTGTAGGTTGTGGCTTTCATGGAGAATGTAAACCATCCTGGTATCTGCTGGTTAAGCAATGCAGTAGGGCACAAGTAATCCAGGAGGTTTTTGTAGTACACTGGTGACTGAAGGGAAAGTCTGGAGCAAAGACTCAGCAGAGAATGATCTCATCAAGGAACATTGAAATAAACTGCACATGTAAAATTTATTGGCATGTGATAAGGTCCACATGAATACTAAATGAGCTGTTGTTGACTGATGGCATTGCAAAGCCAGTCAATAATCTTTGGAATGTGGCACTCAGGGGATGTTCTTGAAGACTGGAAGAAAAATCATCACTACTATCTTCAAGAAGGGAAAGAGATCTTGGAAACTACAGGCCTGTCAGCCTTAGCTCAACCTCTGGGTAGGTGATAGAACAAATAATTCTGGAAACTATTTCCAAACATATGTGTAGAACAAGGGGGTGATTGTGCATAGTCAGCATGAATTACAAAGGGCAAATCAAGCCTGACCAGCCTTATGGCCTTGCTTCATTATTTGATTAGCTTGATGGATGAGAGAAGAATATCAGATGTTTTCCATCTTGTCTCTGCTAAGTTCAACACCCTCTTCTAAAACACCCTCATAGACAAATGGAGGAAGTACAGCCTAGATAAGTAAGCAGTGAGGCAGATTGGAAA